CCAGAACGTGTGCATCGCCATTGTCCCGAACGTATTCGCTGCATGCCTAGCGTGTTTTCCCAATAGCTATGTTCTAATGCCCTCGCTACTAAGGTCCTCATTTTATAGTTATTACCGCGTCACAAGTGTCATCAGTTCACCACTACGTCACTAGGGTCACCAGGATATAATCAAGGTTATCGTGTCATCATTTATGAACCCGCGTCCCACTGGGGCCTGCGTGTAACGCGCCCTATAACAAGGGGGAGGGGGGCTATTCATAGTCCCTCCTGTTAACCCGCGCCCCAGTGGCGGTCTCAGCCAACTTCGCCCTAGTGGGGGGGGGGGGGCATATGTTAACACCCACCTCTAACTCAAAAACTAAGAGGGCTAGAAAGACGCGGTAAAAAGTAATCGATAGCTTTAGCTCTCAATGCGTACGTCTGAAAGTATTTCGGTCATTTTTCTTCTTAGAGCAATATTGGAGGCACTGGAGGTCATCAAAGGTCAAAATTTGCCAAATGTCATTATATTTTTCCGAAAACATGCATTTATCTCAGGAACTATGATAGCTAGAAAACGAATGGAAAAGCAATCGATAGCTCTTGAACTCTTCGTTCGATAAGGTCATCATCAAAATTGACCTCAGTTCAACGGTTTAGCCTTCAGAGGACAAAAACTCCAAAAATAGCTGTTTTTACGTTAAGTGTTTTTCGACAATAACTTTTGACTAAAAAAGCCACGGCATTTTTATTGCCAGAATCGTGTTCCTCTCGCCGAGACGCATCAAATGTACTATGATTTGACCTTGCAAGGTCAACTTGAAAATTTGACCTCAGGTCAAGGTCATGATCTGACCGGAGAAGGTCATGTTGCATATCATTCGATGCGTCTCGGCAAGACAAACACAATGAGACCATCCCCAGCGTTCTATCTCTTTTCAATCGAGAGTTATTGGCAAAAATCTGTTTGTAGCCTCAAATGACCTCGGATGACCTTTCTAGAGGCTATCAGCAAAAATGACACCTTGGTCGTCACGGGTGGCCCAAATAATTGTGATTCTGAAATATTTGGACTGTTCCTATGCGTACACACGGATCTAGAGGCATTTTCATTTTTCTCCATTGACTTATAATGGTAAGGTCACGCCACTGACCTGACCTTAGGTCACGGATATAAAAAATCCGAGATATATAAATTGTAGGCGCCCATAACATCATGCAATCCACCAAGTTTAAAATCTTTCTGACGAACACTGCAGGCTGGACATGATTGCAAACTTTTTTTTAGGCTTGGTCAGTTAACTGGACCTGGTGACCTGACCTCACATGACCTGGGGTCAAAAATTTCACACCTTGTCCAAAATTGATGTGCAAAAAGCTACCCCAAGCGGCGCGGCGCTACGCGCCGCGGTTTTTTATTCACACGCAAAAAACGCGACAGGATGGTAACACATGCCTCCCCCCCCCCACTGGGGCGAAGGTTAAATTCAAAATTACTAGGCCGGATATCAAAATTCAAACGGCGAGATCTGTGTATACGCATAGGAACAGTCCAAATATTTCAGAATCACAATGATTTGGACCACCCGTGATGACCAAGGTGTCATTTTTTTGCTGATAGCCTCCAGAAAGGTCATCCGAGGTCAGTTGAGGCTACAAACATATTTTTTGCCAATAACTCGCGATTGGAGAGAGATAGAACGCTGGGGATGGTCTCATTGTGTTTGTCTTGTTGAGACGCATCGACTGATATGCAACATGACTTTTTCCGGTCAGGTCATGACCTTGACCTGAGGTCAAATTTTTAAGTTGACCTTTCAAGGTCAAATTATAGTTCATTCGACGTGTCTCGGCGAGCGGAACACGATTTGGCAATGTAAATGTCGTGGATTTTTTTTAGTCGAAAGTTATTGTCGAAAAACACTTTTCGTAAAAACAACTATTTTTGGAGTTTTTGCCTTCTGGAGGCTAAACCGTTGACCTGAGGTCAATTTTGATTATGACCTTATTTTGATATTTGATATTATATTGGAGACGACCTTATTTTGATAATTTTGATATTAAATGTCGTGAATTTTTTTTAGTCGAAAGTTATTGTCAAAAAACACTTTTCGTAAAAACAACTATTTTTGGAGTTTTTGCCTTCTGGAGGCTAAACCGTTGACCTGAGGTCAATTTTGATTATGACCTTATCAAAAGAAGTGTTCAAAAGCTATCGATTGTTTTTACATGCGTTTTTCTAGCTACCATAGTTCCTGAGATAACGGCATGTTTTCTGAAAAATATAATGGCAATAGGGAAATTTTGACCTTTGATGACCTCTGCTGACCCCAATATTGCTCTAAGATGAAAAATGACTGAAATATTTCTTAACGTACGCATTGAGAGCTATCAACTGCTTTTCACCGCATCTTTCTAGCCCTCTTAGTTTTTGAGTTAGAGGTGGGTGGTAACATATGCCCCCACCCCCACCCACTAGGGGGAAGTTGGTCGAGGCCGCCACTGGGGCGCGGGTTAATTTTACACCTACACTGAAAATTGCATGACCCTGACCCAAGTGAGCTTTGACCTGTGACCTATTTCTCGAGGCCATGTTTGGCCAGAATCGCGATTCGGCGCATATCGGCTCGCATAAGCCGAGCGTTTGCAAGCTTTTCGTGGTTTCAAACGTTCAAACACGTGATTTGATGTTGGTCCCATGCATTAGGATGGATGTCTACAGAGCACCCGGAGGTCAAGTCAGGTCATTGACCTTTGGTGACCTCGGTTCACTTTTTCGAGTTTAACATCTTAATAGGCTAGTTTTTTATAGCTAAATTCAAATTTAGCAGCCATTTGAACATTTGCGAGGTAGTTTTGGTGCCTTCGTATAATGTTACAAATCTGTCAGAGGTGGTTGACACGTACTACGAATACCCGTCACGACCCCTACTGGTTGACCTGACTTGACCTGACCCGACCTGGTTTAAATACTTAAAGACTCATCTGTGATCAAAATCCAAAACGATATTCGTGATCAGCACCCCGAAAACCCATAGAACAGTCACACTTCACGACTTTCTAACAAGTCCCGATTTTCCCTTCTTTTGGGTCATGGATCTGACCTGGAAGGTCAACCGATGACCTGGGATCTTAAAATTATATATCTTCGGCTTCCTCTCTTGATGGGCAACACGCTCGTTTTTTCCGCAAAGATCTAGCTCGATCAGGGGTCAAACGCGGGGGGGGGGTCACCTACCCCACCCCCTTGTGCCCTCGAAGGATACCTACAAAATGGCCTGTGCCGGCGAGGGTTAATCCCAGCTCCAGTGGCTATCAGCTGATTACCAGGTTTTGACTGCTACACTTAAATACTCACACAAAAAAAAGAACACTAAACGCCGCCGCCGTGAACATGCATGCAACATGGTGTTAATCGGATCATCTGGCCGGTGAACACGTGAGAACGCCTGCAGTACACCTCCGGCGGCGGCTGATGTACGGCCGTGGTGGCCCGGCAGGGAGGATCCCAGGCCGGATCAGATCGGGCGGGAGCACGCGACACAGCTGGACACGACAAACACGCCGGCAACATGGAGAGGTGACGCAGATTAGCCGAACATTGCCACTTTTCGCAGGAATCCTAGCGTGGGAAATTGAAGTTGTTGAGTTCGCTTTGGTATTCGCTTTGGTATTCAGTTCATGTTTAATTTGTAAGGCTCTGTAAGAAAAAAAAAATGGGCGGGCTTTCGTATGTACTTCTGCTTCAGTTGGCACGGCAATAGCTGATTGTTATCAGTCCCTTATTCTTCAAGTAGCAAGAAAGCTGAATGACAAATACCGGTGTAATATGATGCAACAAAAAGCCGCCGAAATACTCCGAACAAATTTACTACCGTATAACGAGCCATGCTCAAGCAGAAGAGTAAGTTCGGAGTATACCTATGGTAAATGGAACTGCATTTTTAGATTGAAATGGTTCCAATTAGATAACAGCGGATAGTGCTGAAAACACCCATTGTATTCACTTTCTCGCCCCAGCTCACAATACACATTCTATGTAGTACCATTACTGCTGTTCTGGAACCCAGCGCGCCCATCACTCGAGCCCATTTCTCTCTAATTTTCCCTAGCCAGAAACTAGCCCAGGTGGTTGCAGGTGAAATCACGTGAAATAATGACCAGGCACACCACCGTCCTCTGAACCACGTGTAACACGGGCCTAAAATACGGTTTAGCACGCCTTTTGTGTGTTTTACACGTGTCATTTACCCCGTTGTAGCTTAGGACACCCCAGTGACCGCCAGCAATAACCTTTGGCTGTGTAATAGTGAGGAAAATTGGTGTAGGTGTGGCGACACTTTTCTCGGAGCGAATACTTTATAACTGACGCATCAGCCATGTATGAGGAAGAAGCAGCAATGCCGTAAAAATGTCACAGAAGCTATGCTTGATTACTTCATGATTCAGGGCCATTGTTGAAAAAACATGGATTGTTGCTGTCGTAAGCTTGGTAAGCAGTACCCATGGTTATCGGTATGTGGTGGCTTCCCATAGCAGTGCGGTACCCCGTGGGTATCGCAGAATGTAGAAAGGCAATTTGAAATATTTTATAAATCGACTTACATGAGAACGCAAAATTCGTGTTGTGTTATATACAGGAGTCCATTTTTCTTACACGTGCAGGGCTTATTTCCCTTATGTGCGTCAATACGAGTTTTGTACATTTGAACATCTTTTTTTTACTCATGTCACTTGAAGTCAAAAGCACACCATAGTCTATGATCCATATACCGGATCATGTATTTATTTGGTATATTTCAGCAATGTGCTAGATATCACAATAGAAAAAGGTAACTGAATACTTCGTTATGTATATGTTGGGAAGTATTTTCCATTTTCATTACTTTTACCTTAATTAAGTACAAACTTTATAACTATCACAGAAACGTAACAGCGAAGCTTCAAAAGGATTCGTGCGCTGCTGTTTCCGTGTAGCGTTCCGGCTCCATCGGCCCCAGGTGTGCGCCGGTGACCTACCTCTGTGCGGTGGTGCATGGCTCCGGTCCCAGCTGCCCACAGGTCACACGCGGTCCCCCCTCCGCCTCTGCTGCCACTGAGTGCCGCAGCCCCGACCCGTGGGAACCGCACCGGGCTCCCGCGACACACCGACCAATCAGCGCACAGCTGCCGGCCAGGCCGCGCCTGATTGGCCAACGCGCCGGCCGCTGACTCCGCCCCTTTCGGAAACCGCTCGGCATCGGTGGCGGTCGAAAATATAGGTCGGCGTAGTTTTCTAAGAGCTTAGTCAGTTCCAGCTAAAATACAAATAAAAACGTACCATAATACTTTGTTAAAAAAAACTTGAGGCTGTTTCTGGAAAAAATAAGGGTGGTAGCACAAAATCTACATCTTCATAAATTCCAACCCTACGTAAGATAATGTCCGGCATTTGTTTCGAGAACATCCCCACATATACCTAGTTTTCTGTTTTTGATAAGTACCTATCTGCAGAAATAAAAAAAAACATGCCTCAATTACCCAGGGGCGCGTGAACTACTTTCAGAGTGGGGGGGGGGGGGAGGGGGAAGCACACCATAATAGAAATCAGCCTAGAGTATCACAAAATCTAGTTTTTTTTCAGTTCTCACCAGTTTTAGGCTACTTATTTTTCATCCCTTGTCTTTCTCAACAAAAAAGACAATATTTTCAAAAAGGTGCGGTATTCCGTCTCAAAGCTGCGGGGTCACCGCCTCCACAGCCCCAGAATGGGGGGGAGGAGGCTGCCCCCACTGCTCCCCCCTCTGGTTCCCGCGCCTATGCAATTACCTGTTTCTTATGCATCATTTGATAAAGTTCATCAACTAGGCATTTCAATCCGGGCTACATTGTAAATGGTAAGAACTATAACCGGTGGAGCGTTTACCCGAACACATTCGCCAGCCAGGCTTCTGAGAGAACTCTGACAACACGACATGATGTAACACACATGCATCGCATGCGCCGCATGCATTAGTAACTGGCTGGTCGACAGTCGGGTGCTGGATTGTCCCCGCCTGTTTTACTGGCGTGCTCGGTACCTACTAGAGATGTCAATTGGATACCGACTTTTTGGTATACCGATATCAAACCAATACCAACTTGGTATTTGGTATTTCAAGGCGAGTGCATTTGGTATTTTGTTGGTATTATGAGTCCACACTACTGTAAAAGATGCTGAGAATTTGGTAAAAAGTTGGTATTTTCCTCATATTTCCAAGTCGGTTTGGTTTCGGTATTTTTTCATGGATATTGTTGGTATTTGGTTTGGTCTCGGTATCACGTTTTCCGTAATTGACATCACTACTCGGTACACTTGCCTCATCTAGCCGGCGAGAGCCGACAGAAGACACGGACTTATCGGACTGATTCGGATAGATGACTAGCATGGTGTTTGTAGGAGTCGCTTGATGGTGTTTGTCGGTTGGAATTCAGGCTCATGGGTGGGAGTTTTGGTATTACACCGGTCAGACGGCGGTGGAAATTTGTCGTCGGCGATATGTGTCATGTGTGTCAGTGGTCAGTATCCAGTGGTCAGGTGTCAGTATCCAGTGGTCAGGTGTCATTAGCCGGTGGTCTGAGGTCTCTGATCTGCAGTCAGTAGTCAAAAGTCGGTGGTCTGTGATCTGTGGTCAGGTGTCAGTAGTTGGTGGTCTGTGGTCTGTGATCTGTAGTCAGTAGTCAGTAGTCGGTGGTCTGTGATCTGCAGTCAGGTGTCAGTAGTCGGTGGTCTCTGATCTGTAGTCAGTAGTCAGTAGTCGGTGGCCTGTGATCTGTATTCAGTAGTCAGTAGTCGGTGGCTTGTGATCTGTAGTCAGGTGTCAGTAGTCGGTGATCTGTGATCTGTAGTCAGTAGTCAATAGTCGGTGGCTTGTGATCTGTAGTCAGTAGTCAGTAGTCGGTGGCCTGTGATCTGTAGTCAGAAGTCAGTAGTCGGTGGCCTGTGATCTGTAGTCAGTAGTCAGTAGTCGGTGATCTGTGATCTGTTGTCAGTAGTCAGTTGTCGGTGGTCTCTGATCTGTAGTCAGTAGTCAGTAGTCGGTGGCCTGTGATCTGTATTCAGTAGTCAGTAGTCGGTGGCCTGTGATCTGTAGTCAGTAGTCAGTAGTCAGTAGTCGGTGGCTTGTGATCTGTAGTCAGTAGTCAGTAGTCGGTGGCCTGTGATCTGTAGTCAGTAGTCAGTAGTCGGTGGCCTGTGATCTGTAGTCAGTAGTCAGTAGTCAGTAGTCGGTGGCTTGTGATCTGTAGTCAGTAGTCAGTAGTCGGTGGCCTGTGATCTGTAGTCAGTAGTCAGTAGTCGGTGGCCTGTGATCTGTAGTCAGCAGTCAGTAGTCGGTGGCTTGTTGTCTGTGGTCAGGTGTCAGTAGTCGGTGGCTTGTGATCTGTAGTCAGCTATCAGTATTACTACTATGGTCATTGATCAGTGTGGTCAGTAACCAGAGGTCACTAGACATGGTCTGTGGTCAGTGTTCAGTGCTGTTTAGCGAAAGGTGAACATAAACACTGCTCGTCCGGTAGCCTTTTGTCAGCGCCAGCGTCTCATGGTCTGATATTATCACGATCTGATAATTTGCGCGGATGATCTTTGGTCAAGGGCCGTGTGAGCGATCTTTGGTTGGTGAGCGTGTAATTGATCTTTACTTGGTGCACTAAACATGACCTTTTCCCAGTTACTGACTGCAAGTGATCATTGGTCGTAAAACGATCTTTGGTCAATGAACGATTTTTTATTGAGCCCATTCATTTACGGACATACCATAGGCATATGATGCATCTAAGCACAGTTCACAATTATTCCTCTGCGTTCCACCGCTGGCACGCCTCCGGTGAACCATTTTTGGTCGGTATGTGTTTGAACGATCTTTGGTTTGAGGCCGTGTGAACGATCTTTGGTAGCTGGTCGTGTGTGTGATCTGTACTGCCCCGTATAATACGATCTGTTGACCGCCCCCCCCCCAATCCCCGCTCCGCTCAGCTGGTTACCCAGCGGCGGCGCGCGTGCACCCGCCTCATCTCGCCCGGAGCCCGTTTTGGCGGTGGCATGGGCCGTATCTGGTTTGTGTTCCTCCGCTCCGTGCGGCCACCTAGCAGCACGGCGATATGAGACTGAGCCCGAGCAGCTTATACCTATCCGTGACTCAGAGTCAGACCACCGCGCCGGGCTACAAACGGCGTATTAGTTATACATGCAAACACGGTACAGGGCCGACTATCAATAATACAATGTTCCATTCATGATTCAGTGTAAGCAAACCGATCTCAGTGGTGGAAAGTTGCATACAAAGACTGATTCGTTTGCTCGTCAATTGTTGTTTAATGAAGCAATTTAGTAAACGTTACTAGATATTATATAAAATAATCAGAGTTGTTGAGCAGCTTATAGACCACTGCTATCGGCATGGATTTAAATTCAAATCGCAAACACAAAAAAGGACAATGTGCTTGGTTTGACAATGTGTTTTGCAGTTTCAGCGTGGGCCGATATAAGACTGAGACAGCATGTCCCACTATTTTGTATTTATCACACAAAACAAAACGGCATGAAACGGAACGCCCAATTCCGGAAAATATGACATAACAACACCTCACCTCGATGGTGGTCACCCCATATGCGAGGTGTGAAAACCCCGCCGCCGGTGGAACCGATTTGCCTATCGTCCGACCCGTCTGATTTTCCCACGAGCTGTCCCGGCGCCGCCCTGTTTCCGTCCGGTGAATCTGATGATGATGATGATTTGGTGTTTTAGGGCGCACCAGCAGTGAGGCTATATGGCGCCCACGTCTGGTGGATCTGATCTCAGCACACCAGGGCCCAATCTCACCAAGTGCGGTAAACTCAATTTGGGGTAAAATACTAAACTACCCCACTCCGTAACTACAAAAATACTGTCCCAAAATTAAGTTTACATAACTTGGTGAGATTTGGCCAAGTGCCCAACCTCACCAAGCTAGTTTAACTAATTTCGGGGTAGTATTTTTGTAGTTATGGAGTGGGGTAGTTTGGTATTTTACCCCAAATTGAGTTTACCGCACTTGGTGAGATTGGGCCCTGGTGGCGGAGACGTGTCGCGCCAGTCTATCGCGTAGAACCGCAGACGCGATAGTCCAGTGCAGCTATCGCGTCTGCGGTTCTACATGCCCCGCGCACCTCGCTAGCTGTAATGGAGGGCTGCGGAGTCGGAGTCGGAGTCGGTCGGAGTCGACAGCTGTGACCGGAGTTGGAGTCGGAATCGGAGTCGATTTTAGAAACCCGAGCTGGAGTCGGAGTCGGAGTGACCGAAAATCTGTCGACTCCGCAGCCCTGCTAGGTCTGCGGAGTCGGAGTCGGGAGTTGGAGTCGGTCGGGGTCGACAATTCTGCCGGGAGTCGGAGTCGGAGTCGGAGCTGGTTTTTGAAAGCCAGAGTCGGAGTCGGAGTCGGAGTCGCCGAAAATCCATCGACTCCGCAGCTGGTTGGGTGTAATGGATCCCGCGCTGCTGGGGTGCCGATAAAGAACACGGCACCCAAAGCAGAGCCCTGTGCCACGCCCGATAACGGTAAGGCGGCAGGAAACGGTGCCTGGGACCAGCAGGGGGATCAGGGTTACTGAAATAGGTCTTGCCTTGACTGAAGAGGTGGCTGTTCTACAGTTCAGTGCTCAAAATTTGTGTCATCCCAGTCAATTGTATCAACCATTTTAATGTTATTTTAGCATTGTAATTACAGTCCGATTTATTAAGCCTGCCAAATCGTTAAAAGCACTCTAATAAAAATCCCACGAAAGACTTCCATATCCTTTAACGCTGGCAACCTGAAAAGTTTTACCTCAACCTGACCTTATATTCCACTCTCTATATTTACATAGCTCGACCCGTGCGTTATTTACTTGAGCAATCAAAGCGATCAGATGGGCTTTAAAAATATCCGACTTTACAGCATTAGCAGGTGTATGTTTTAAAATGAATGTCAATGATAATTTTCTTGCAGTATAAGTTAATTTGGTAAATTCCCTCTCCACTGATAGCCCTGCGATGGATTACAGCTGATATCTCACTGCTTTGAGAGCCAGTTGCCCTCATCACTATCCACATCAG